CAGAGCCGCCCTCCCGCCCGCTCATCTGCCTCCTCCCGCAGGCCGGCGGGGGACTCCGGGGATGGAGACCTTGTCTTTCCCCAGATACAACGTCGCTGAGATCGTGACTCACGTTCGAAACAAAATCTTAACCGGGGCCGATGGCAAAAACCTCTCCAAGGGTGACCTCTACCCCAACCCAAAGGTGAGCCGGCTGTGCTGGGCGGCGCCCCCTGTGGTTCACCCGGAGCCCTCCTGGGGCCTTGAGGACACCGCGAAGGTCATATGGGGCGGCTCCTGCGTCCACCAGGAATGCAGTTCTTTAACGTGGTCCTCTTCTCCAAAGAGAAAGCTTCTAAACCAGCTTCCTGCCGTGCACGCACTTCTGCGGTCATCAGCGGTGCTCCAGGGGCGTCGCTGGTGGGCAGGGCGAGGGGGACGTTTCCCCCGTGGCTCACAGGCGGGCTGCTGAGAACAGCCCTCTGGAAGCTCACAGGTTGATTTTCTTACATGTCCCCAGGGGCGGACTTGTTTTGACAGACGCTGTTCTTTATGTCTGTAGTTAATAAGTGTGACATGAACTATTTACGTGACACAGAAGTCCCACCCTCTCCTTGAGTTTATTGGGCTGGTCTTGAAGGGGTAGCACAGGACCACCTGGTTTAGTGGTGTGGAGCTGAACTTTCTGGTCTTGGTGCCCCGTTAATTCTTTACAAGGAAAGGGAGGCTCTCAGGGTAAATGAACCCGTATGTAGAACAGGGTCTGCAGGCCAGCACTTGGGAACTGCAAATCTAGAAGATGGAACTTTAAAAAATCCTGCCCACCCTATGACATTTATACCTCTGCTCATGCTGTTCCCTTAACTCTAACATCTGAGGAAACCTTCGCATCTGAGGCCTCCATGGTGGGTCACCTTTACTCCCGGTGTGCCCTGGGTTACCACACGGAGGACTAGTTTGGAAAGGGTGGCCCTCCCCTTCCAGTGTGGGTGGATGGCTTGGGTTGGATTTGGATAGTCTTGCTCTCATCCTGTCTATGGACTTAAACAACTGATCTTATCGATCACTTACTTATGAGCAAATGGTAAGTATATAAGGTGTTTTCAAGTATGGAGAAATTAAGAACTATTTCAAGGGAAATAGAGAAACTTGTCAGTCTTGTTCTTTGCCTGATGTGGGGCGGTGAGGATGGTAGTGACCCAGCTTAGCCCTGCATCGGCATTAACAGGTGCTTCTCTCCCATAGCCCGAGGTCCTGCATATGATCTACCTGAGGGCCTTACAGATCGTGTACGGCACGCGCCTGGAGCACTTCTACATGGTGGGTCACTTCCGTACTTGCAGGCTTCAGGTTTTCAGGACAGGAAGTTCTTGACTTTATTATGTGAAATGTCACTGAGAATCAGGAATCTCAGGCATAACGGTGGTTTATATTGACAGCTTTAGTCAGACAAAGACCGCAGTGAGAGACCTAAGGACCCTGATCACTGATGGAGGCAGTTATTCAGATTCACAGGCTGCACTCAGAGACGCTGTTCTCAGGGCGTAGCCCACGTTGGGGTAGAGGATAGGCACTGAAATGGAAAGCAGCTGGAGTAAGGCAGCTGAGCCATAGTACATTAGGTATTTCTCATCGGATCATCATCTGGAGATGCAGAGATAGAATGCCTGTCGGATGGTCCAGTGTCACTGCATGTTGTTTGGGATTGAAAGCTTGCCGTGTTTGCTGTGAGCCCGTGCTGAGGCTTCGCTTCTGTCCTGGGCTCGTTCTACAGGCTAAGCGAGCACGTGTAAAAGCTAGTGTCAGTGCTGCTGGTTAGTCCCTGGGAACCAGCACCTTCATTTTCTCCTGCACTCAGAACCATTCTGAAACACCCACTGTGACTCAGAATTAATATGAACGCAACTCTAGGTTTGTTCTAGGATCTGTATTGTTCGTTGTTGTTTCTCTTTAATAGGTTAATATAATTTGATCTTACTCTCTGATTGAGGTTACTTTAAGTGGAAGACTTTTTTCATTTCATCAGGTTAATGTGTAACTTAGATTTTCTGACTTTTCCCTTTAGATGCCAGTGAACTCGGATGTCATGTATCCACACTTAATGGAAGGCTTCTTACCCGTCAGCAACCTGTTTATTCATCTGTGAGTAGCATTTTATTTTCTTAGTCTAACCATACCTGCGTTACATTAAGCTTTCTTAATGACATGATTTTCTTTGGAAAGGAATTTCTGCCTTTTTTCTCTCCACTTCATCCCATATGTATTCAAAATTATAGACTTTCAACAAGCATAACTAACTGCCTCCACCTGTGGCACTCTCAATTGAAGTTTCAGTGTTATAAATATAAAATTGTTGGAGGCCGTTGTGTGCTTAGAGTCCTAGTACCTCCCAGAGTGTGCGTTGGCATATTTCACTGTCCCAGGGCATAACACTCATGTAATGTATGGAAAAGGAGATTCAGTGCCACAGGGCCATGCGTTCTAGTAGATATCTGACATGTCGTTTGACTTGGAGAATGTATCCAGAAATCTCATTGAAAATAAGATGTTCCTCTCCTCTGGCTTCGTGTATATTTACAGTATACTTTTCAGTGTTCTTTCTCCACTGTGTCTTCCAGGAACTCATTTCTGCCCATTTGCCGGGTGAACGACTTTGAGACGGCCGACATTCTGTACCCAAGTGAGTGAGGGTTTCAAACTTCACATTTAGCCCTGCTTTAGTTGTACCCACAAACCAATGAGAGATGTTTTCTTCTGTGTGTGTGCGTGTGCGTGTGGTGCACACATGTGCCCACCTGCATTTTGGATTATAAGTCTAAACTTATCTTCATTTTCTGAGGCTGAGGCCACCACCCTCCTGAGATTTGTTTTGTTTTTGGCAGTTCTTCCAGGGTTATCATTGACTAAAGAGCACTTTTTATCTTAACTCTTAATTTTGATAGTTCATGGACCACATACAGAGTTTACTTCCACTGAAACCCATGTGGCAGTGGCCAGGGTTAGACTTCTCAGAGGAGGTGATTGTCTCAGCAGAGACAAGTAGAGATGCTAGTAACCTTGTTGTTTCCCTGCATTGGTGTGAGTTTTCCCCCTGGTCTGCCTTTTCACTGGAACGTGTGCAGCCTTGCTGAAGTCCCACGTCCTGTAGGGTTCTCAGCTTGTTTCCTATGGCCTGTGGGTCCAGGGTGTCACCAGCTTTCCTATGTGAAGGCCAGTAATACTGAGCCCTTGCTCCTCAGACTGGACTAACTCTCTGCTTCTCTTCCCGTCTGGCTGCTATAAGACTCAGAGGCTTTCAGCAATTCATTACAATGTGCCTGTGGGGGTTTGCCTTTGTTCCCCGTCCCTGTCCTCACCTCCTTAGATTTGCTTACTTGGATGTGTTTATAGTTTCTGTCAAATTTGGAGAATATTCAGCTGTCTTACGAAAGTCCTCTGCCACTCCTCTTTGTGGGGCTTCCATTACACATTCATGTGCTGCTTGGGGGTGTCCCTCAGTGCACGGTGCTCTGTTCACGCTCATCTCTGACTTTTAGTGCTGCCTTCATCTCACTAGTCCTTTCCTCTGCAGGTCTGATCAGCCATTAAGCCCATCTAGTGTCAGATATTTCAGTTTTAAGTTGTAAAATTTTGGTTCAGGTCTTTTAAAATTTTCCCCTTTTTCTCCTTGTATGTCTCTCTCTCCCTTGAACAAATGGAATGTAAGTCAGGAAATGGACTTTAGTTTGGAGAGGCCAACTTAAATTCCAGTTACCTTGGTCTGTCCAGACTCTCGGTTCTGCCTTCACGACTCAGTAGGAGCTGTGAGTCTGTGCTCTTCCTCCTTGGACTCAGCCTGGAGTCCACATTGACAGGGCTCTCCCCCCATAGTGTTTCTCTTGGGGCTGCTGTCCTCCATGGTATGCCGCAGGACTTTTTTTTTTTTCCCCCCTAAATGTTATGGTGAAAGCATTTTTTAAAAATATGTCTTTATCGATTCCAGAGAGAGAAAGGGATAGGGCGAGAGAGAGAAACATCAATGATGAGAGAGTCATTGATTGGCTGCCTCCTGCACAGCCCCTACTGGGGATTGAGCCCGCAACCTGGGCACTTGCCCTGACTGGAAATCGAACTGCTGTCTCCCGGATCATAGGGCAATGCTCAGCGTTTGAGCCACACTGGCTGGGCTGCTGCAGTACATTTTGTGTGGCTTTCTGATTGGTTAAGAGGGAAAAGAAAGCAGGTCCTGCCACTTTCTCATGGCCAAAAATGGTTTGCCTTTTTGATTTTTTTTAAGTTATTAATGCAAAGATAATTCTGATTTTTAAGTTAAAGCAAACTCTTTGAACCTTGGTTAGAGCACACACAGCTTTATTTGTATTCTGTGAGCAGAGTATATGGTGGGAGAGGGTGGATTTCATTTTTATATTGTTTCAAAGGTTTACTTAGGGAGTCTCGCTTTCTGTTTTAGAAGCCAAAAGGACCAGCCGGTTTTTGAGTGGCATCATCAACTTCATCCACTTCAGGGAAGCATGCCGTGAGACGTACATGGAGTTCCTCTGGCAATATGTAAGGTGGAGACGTAGCACCACTTGTAAACTGATTGTCTGCTCTAAAGCCGTTGTCGTGAATGACTAATTATTGTAGAAGCAAGTTGATTGTTATATTTATGTGAAGTTTCAGGTTTTAGGTACTGGAAAGCATCTCAGAGAGAGGTTTTCTTTGCTGTTTGGTTACAGAGAGGCTGGGTTTCCTGTTTGATCTCTTCCTATGTCAGGAAATGTAAGGAGGAGAGTAGTGACAAGTCGCGTGTTCTCTGATGTTTAACAATGTCCTTTAGTCATGAGGCTTGAGATTCATGTTTGCTCCAATGCTGGCCCAGCACTGCATCATAGCATTCAGTCCAATAGGTCACCTAACAGATAAACTCACTCGTCAGCAGTAGAGAATTTGGAAAGGCTGTGGGTCATCTGTGACTTGTTCCCGTCTGTCCCCAGTTGTGGGCACATGCTCTTAGGAAAGTACCAGAGCCAGACACTTGGAACTCAGCTCCAGCCACACTGAGCTACAGATCAATAGAGATGTCCTTGCACAAATCACACCACACTTGTACCTCTGGAACATCACATGCTCCCCAAGCCTACACTTGTGTGTGCCAACACGCACTCACGTGCACACGCACGCACTCACGTATATACATGCTCACGCACACGCCTTGGCTTGGCTGATTTCTTCTCACTTCTAAGACACGGCTCAGACATCTGTCATTTCGCTGCAGCTCTCTGTGACGGTCTCCCTGGTCATCACCCAAGTAGGGTTGGCTGCCATTGTGCTCAGCACTGTAACAAGCTGGGTTGTGGTTTTATACTCATGTAGTGACTCTTCAAGGCGACTGTGCTACTCACATCCAGGAACTGTTAGTCTCTGGTGTCGTTCCCAGCACTGCACACAGCGCTGACTGGTACCAACACGTATGTGCTGAACAAGCACAGAAGCCCCTGATGCACATGTCACAGTGCCTGTTTCTCGTGGTGTAAGGTGTAGCAAGAGAGCATTTGCAGTCTGCACTGACAGGTGAATTTTTAAACATGTCGCGATTATGTTGGAAAACACTAACGTGAAGTTACTAAAACTGCTTTAATAGAAATCTTCTGTGGACAAAATGCAGCAGCTGAATATGGCTCACCAGGAGGCCTTAACGAAGCTGGAGAAACTTGAGTGAGTAGCAGATTTACGAATAAAATAATTGCAACTTTAAAAATGCAGAGTGGATTGCGAGTAGTATTTGACAGCCCTACAGTTGACTTCAAGTCATCTTTCCTACTAAATTGCACTGTTTTAAGTTTACCTTTTCTTTTTTCTCACTCTTGGGACATGATACATCTTTTGCTTCTTTCCTGCTGTTGTGCATTAGCCAGACATGTGCAAATTGGTACTTTCCTCTCCTGAGCTGCCCCCAGGAGTGTTCAGCTTCCTCTCCTGAGCTGCACTGGGGGGTGTTCGGCTTACACAGGAGAGCAGCAGCTCACTGGACTCCCCTCTTCAGACCAGTTGATTCTGTCAGCATTTTACCCCTTCAGCAGGGGTGGGTTTTATTGGCTCATATAGGTCAGATAGGAGGAAACTCACAAGTTAGGATTCCTTGGCCTTGTGTGTTCTAATTAGGAACTGACAGACTTTTTATCCCTTTTACCGTGTTGGTGCCTGAGTGTATCTGTGTCATGCCTTCCTGTAATTGCCCTCAGGGACAGCAGCAAGCTGAAAAGATGGCCTAGGACGCAGATGTGAAAGTCTCCTCTGGGGGAGTTAGCTCACACCATATCAGACGGTAGGGGCAGACTGGGAGGGAGTGTTTGCAGCATATACAGCAAAACATTTCTCTCTTGATCAGAAAGCCCGAGTGCTGTTCCAACATATAGGGAATCCCATGCACTGATGGGGGAAAGCACACTAGAAAATGGCCCAAGGCTATAAACGGATTTAGTAACAAATGGCTAATAAAAAATACATAAAGCTCGTTAGCTCACTGGCAGTCGGGATTGAAACGAAAGGAGCAATTCTAGACCATGCTTCAGAGACCAATGCTGAGAACCTTCCTGTGGAGGAGACAGCATGCGCCAGTCTGCTGGGGAGGACAGGGGTGCGAGAGCAGGCAGCCGCAGGAACTGTGAGCAGATGTGTGGGCAGGGGAGAGGGGCCTGTGGTCCTGTTCTCAGGAAAGCAGAGGGTGGGGTGCGCAGCGGTCCCCACGGAGACCTGATGGGAAGGCGCAGGAGCACTTTTGCCCATTCCCTGGAGGTGGCTTGCCTGTTCTCAGGTGCTGTCTGGGAGGGTATCATTCAGAGCCTGAGGCAGAGGGTGCCCTCGCTGAAGTTCCGCAGGGCCGAGACTCCAGCCTGGTCCTGTAGAGTTGGGACCTTGGTAGTGTAACCAGCGCACTGTGCTCAGTTCTGTTCCAGTGGAGGAGCAGGCCGAGTTCAAGCAGCTTTCCGATGAGATCCAGGAGCTGCAGCAGCTGCTGAGCCAGGACTTCCAGCAGAAAACGGTGGGTGTTGTTGAGACCTTGACTCCTAGGAAGAGCGTTTCTGTAGTTTTTTTGGGGGGGGGGGCGCATTCAGTGACTAAACAGCGTTACTGCCCTGCCTATATTCTAAGGGACATACATTCACCTCTGTCGCCCACGTCAGACCATGGTATTTATTTGTGATGCCAAAGTTATGTGCTTTCTTGGAGACTAGCATTTTTTAGTGTTTTCCTATGTCTAATTCTGCTGCCCCCTAATTGCACTGGCACCTTAGACACTGCAGCAAACCCTCCCGGGTGCTTCCAGGCACTTTAAAGTTTCCAGGGAAACAAGATGTTTTGTGTCTGCCTGTTGCAGAGACCAGCTCTTGGGGTTTGGGCATTTGCTGTGATAAAAAGCAGGGTGCATGCAAGCCCTCGAACAGGAGACGAGGTTGTCTGCACTCTGCTTCCAGAGTGTGAGGTTGCAGGCCCGATGTGACGGGTGCACATTAGCTTGGCACTCCTGTTGCTAGGACGACACACAGTATTTCAGTCTGGGCTACTGGGTTGGCAGGCATGGGCTTAGCAGCTCTTTGGATTGAACTGCTCAGTAAGGGAGCTGTGGGTACTTCTGACCAGAGGTGGGGGAAGGGGTGGACAGGGAGTTTGAGGGTATCGGTCTAGTCCATTAACCACTTTCTTACCTTTGTTTTATGAGAATGCACCGAGAAGGTACATTTAAACCTGCTTTGAATCATTGTAAAACAATTGTTTGCTTTTTCTGTAGATAATGCTGCAAGAGAGAAATGCCCAGAAGAAGTCTGATATCTTAGAGAAAACCAAGTATTTGGTGAGCACCTTTTCACTACAGTAGCACTGAGGCTGGAGAGTTCGTGTGGAGGAGTATTAACTGGGTATATCATAGTCAGATGTCTCTCCCGAGTCTTTTTCCCTTAAAATGAAACAAATTGAACTTTTTTATAGCACCTTGTCAGTGCTATTACTTTGCTTGGGTCCTGGGAGAACAGGGGTAACTAGTCACACACCCACGTTGCTCAGTCAGTTGAGAAACACCTGAAATGCACAAGGATGGTGTGGCACGTACAGTCCATATCCTGGGGTTTGGGCATTTGCTGTGGAGGGGTTGGAGCAGGTGGGGCAGGGTTCGCAGGGACTCAGGAACACAGGCAGTGCAGGGGGAAGTGGTAACCCTCAGGAAGACCTTACTGATCAGGGCCTGACACAGGACCAATATGACCAGCTTACAGGGTGCCCTAGGACATGAGGGAGATGACACTGGATGGGAGCCTGAGAGGGACTGAGGGATGACCTTGCATGTTGTACCCAGGAACTTGGCCCGGGGCCTGGACAGGAGTGGGAGCCCCGACACAGGAAGCAGTGTGGCCGTCCCCTGATTTCACCCCTACTACAACAAGCCCAGACCCAACTTCTTTGTTTTTTTCTGTCTTATTGTTGTATTTCATATATAAAAGCGTTCTCTCCACAGAATGAGCTAAAATTGTCAGTGGTTTCTTTGAAAGAAGTACAAGAGAGTTTGAAAACAAAAATTGTGGATTCTCCAGAGAAGTTAAAGAATTATAAAGAAAAAATGAAAGATACAGTTCAGAAGCTTAAAAATTCCAGGGTGAGTGTTCTTTTCTTCATTTTAATGAGTTTGTTTTTTCAGCAACTCTTGTTTAATCCTGTGCTGGTCTCTGACTTCCAGGTTGCCTGTCTCTCTCTTCCTCTTACGCACTTTGCCCTCGTGTTTCATTTGTTGCTCTTTAAGTGGGTTCAGGGTGAAGAGAGAATTTGAAGACATTTGTTTACTTACACAACATGTTTTTGAGGCTTTGCCCTGGGTGATCCTTATGAGCCTTAGATGCTTTATTATCAGGGAGGACGGTATTAAACAATTTTATAACTAATTATATAATAACAAGCATTAACATGTACTATGAAAATGTGTAGTGCCAGCATGTGGGGGAAGGAGGTATATGAGAGGTCTCTGTACCTTCTGCTCAGTTTTGCTGTGAACATAAAACTTTTCCAGAAAATAAAGTCTACTTTTTAAAAAGCACCACAAACTGAAACAAAAAATAGTATAGGGTACTTTGAAATAATTAATGTGGGGTGCCTGCTTTAGTCCTGTGGAATCCGGTGTGGTGGGAAGGAAGGGGAATTGATGCTGACATCTGAAGGAAGAACAGGGGCGATCCTAGCAAATTTGTACATGGACGAGCATTGAGGCAGAGAGAACAGCATATGCAAAGCCTCTGAGGTCATAGGGATCAAGGTGTGTTCTGGGAACAAAGCATGATACTTAGAAGGAGAGTGGCCTGAGATGATGGAAAAATAGGCAGAGGCTGAGGGCTCAGGGTGCTGGATTTGACTTTAAGAGCAAGGGCACACCAGTGACTGGTTTCAGAGAGGGTGCTGGACAAGGTATACTTGTGTTTAAAAGATCCCAGTTATTGCTGGGAGGGGTTGAATAGGGTAGGACAGTAGAAGTGGGTGGGTGATTGAGCGTCTTTTATGAGGCAAGTTTTATAAACTATGAAAAGACACTTCTGGTTCATCTTGAGGTGGTTATTCAGGTAATTCCTGATTATTAAAAATTGTCACATGGGAATAGAAGTTACAGAGCATGAGAGCCCTGAAAGAGGTCTGAGTGTTTTGAGAGAACATTGCATTATTTAGCAAACAGTTCTGGTGCAATTGGCTGTTCATCCAGAAGCAAAGGGAGCCAGGCCTATACCTGCACCATTTACAAAAATACATTTTAACTGGATTAAAAATTTAAATTGAAAATTTTAGCAATTTTGGACATTTTAGGAGAACATTTGTATAATCTTGGCCTGGGGTAGATTTTTAAAATCAAGACTGGAAACCCAAAAGCTATACAGAACAACAGTGCAGTTGTGGAACATACTTGTAGTGCGTGTGACAGGTGGAGGGATTATGTCCATGACATGCAAGGTCTTGACAAATTAGTGTGAAAGACAACAGGAAAACCAGCAATGAGAGGATTAACTGTTTTGCTGTGACAAGCCAACTGATTGAGAAGGGGGGGGAGGAGGAAGAAGCCTTCGATATGGGGGTGAGGGGGAAGAAGCCTTCGATATGGGGGTGGTTGTGGTCAACAGTGCCCATTTCTGGTTTTAGAATGGAATTAATCTTTTAAAAATGAGCTGGAGTGGTCAAAGGGCTAAGATTATTATAATTGACAGTGCAGTTGCCTGGGAGTAAAGGGAGTAGTTGGAGCGTGGGCAGAAATGGAGTCTTTTGAGATCATCACAAATAACCTTGGGAGGTGCTTCAGTGAGAGGTTTGGTAAAATCAAGGCAGTTTCCCTCAGTCCACACTCACCGGGCTTAGGAAAGTGTAAGCCTGGGCTCAGACACACGGCATTAAGCACTTCGTTCCCGGCCTGGACTCCAGGCGTTCTCTGCTGCTAAGCTGTTGGCAGCTGCTGCTGAGTGAGCTCTGACATTGCTGCTGCCTCATAACCAGGCTTTCAGATGGGTTTCTGTGTTTCCTTTCAAAGCAACAAGTAATGGAGAAGTACGAGGTATATCGTGACTCAGTGGACGGCCTGCCCTCCTGCCAGCTGGAGGTGCAGCTGTATCAGAAGAAAATACAGGACCTGGCGGAGAACAGGGAGAAGCTGGCCGGCGTCTTAAAGGAGGTGTGTCCGTCTCACTGGGGCTATCAGCGTTAGCTCCTGGGGTACACTTTCCTCCTCCTCACTGTGTCCTAAAGAAAGACTGGTCTCTGTACAGACAGTGTTGCGTGTGGCCATGTGCACTGGGGGCAAACTGATCCTCGGCAGCTTTGGGCCCATTTCACCCCAGATGAGATGAATGACGACGTCAGTGACATTGCAGGTTGCCCTGCGTTTCAGAAAAAAGTAGTGGAAGTTTACACTCATTTTAACGGTTAGAAACGGTCCTTTAAGCAGTACGCAGGATCCCAGGTGACTGCCTAGTGCAACCTGGGAGCTAAAGGGATGAAAGTTAGTGACACAGAGTCTGCCCTGCAGGTGGAGAGCCAGTGCCCACGCTATTTAAGTCTCTCAGGCTGGACACTTGAAAATCCTTCTCACTTCGCACCTTTTCCGTTCCTCGTCCACCTGTCCCCAGGCCACCTCCTTGCATGTGATGGGGGTTTCTTTTGTGAGGGAAGTGGTTAGAGTGTAAGATGGCCCAAGGTATTCGTTCCCACTGAGCACTGAGTGCTCCCCTGTCTGCCCTCGGGAGTCGGCAGAACTGGCTGGAGGTCCCTGCTTCTAACTGCTCTGGGGCCGTCCTCCCCCATTCCTCCACCTTGGGTCAGGCCCCTGCCCTCCACCTCTCGGCTGGCCTCATCCCCACCTCTGTTCCAGTCCTTGCTGATGAAGTGGCACAAGAAGCCCTCTGGGTGTCACGATCTTGTCCCCGTGCCGCCTTCTGTCCCCTCTGTCCAGTCTGTTCTCCTGTGGGTGCAGGGCTGAAACAGTTCTGTCTCGTTTCAAATGGTGTCTTATTGCAGCTCTTCCTAGAAGAGTCGTTGGTTCCATCTGTACCCCTACTTGGTTGCATTGATCGAAGTCTTCTCATGACAGAACCTGAACTTGGAGGACCAGATTGAGAGCGGTGAGTCAGAACTGAAGAAACTGAAGGCTGAGGAAAACTCTTTGCGGAGACTGATGAATGTGAAGAAGGAAAAGCTCGCCACGGTGCAGTTCAAAATCAACAAGAAGCATGAGGACGTCAAACAGTACAAGCGCACGGTGATCGAGTACGGAGCTATGTCCAGTTTAACCTGCTGAAGAAACCAGTAGTTTCCCCTAAGATTCCATGCCTCGTGTAATTTCAGAAAGGTATTCCACCACGAGGAGGCCAGGACAGATGAGTCAGCTGGCAATCTTGTGAGGCTGTGTCCAGACTTAGAGATGTTGCTGCTCTGGATTTCTTCTCCAGGGTCACAGTTCTGTAATTTGTGTAATTCTTCAGCGGCCCGGTGCTCCAACGTGTCAGCCAGCCGTTCCAGCTCCTAGTCCAGCCCCTAGTCCAACCCCTAGTCCAGCTCCTAGTCCAGCTCCTCCAGCTCCTAGTCCCCCTCTTAGTCCAGCTCCTAATCCAGCCCCTAATCCAGCTCCTAGTCCAGCTCCTTTGCAGCCTGGACCCCTGTGGTTTTTGTGTTTGGATAAGAGTTGCACTGTGCTAGCATCTGTCCTAGCTGTCGGCCAGAGTGCTGGGTTTCCTTGGTGCGGTCTTCCTGTCCGTGCTAAAAAGGTGTTTAGAATAGTTGAGGCCCCAGGAATGCCTGTGATGTCACTGTTGAGCCTCTCAAAGGTGCGTTACGGTTGTGGGAAGATTCCCTTTGCTTTCTTCCTCCTGTGGACAGAGCAAAGGGCAGAGCCTGGGAGCTTAGATTTTTGGCCAAGCTGCCTGGAAGCAGGGCTGCCCAACTCATTCCCACCATTGGCACGCAAGGCGCATCCTGGGCACAGACTGTGACCTCAGACCCTGTGTGGCTCCTGGGGTCCTGCATGAGGGTAGCCCCGCACAGGGGTGGTCATCTGTTCACTTTTATGCCTTGAGGAGAGGCTAAAGTGTGTCTTATACGGTTGGGTACTTTGTAATCAAGCTAAGTTAAATGTTTGCCTTTTAGATCCTAGAAAGGAATTATAACCTGGCTGTCTGTTTCCTTTAGAGATTGCAATAAAGTTCAAGAAAAAAGAGGTGCTGTCTATGAGCGGATAACCACCATTAATCAAGAAATCCAGAAGGTTAGATTTACCGTTCAGCAGCTGAAAGATGCCACTGAGAGGGAGAGGCTGAGGTCCCAGGTGAGTGTTGATAAGAAATTAGTTTCAGATAATCTCAAGAGTTTATGTAAATTATGTCACCCTCACTTTGAAGATTTCATCAGTTCTCCAGAGTAGAGGCTGACCCTTTCTATAACCTAATCCCACTTTTTCTTGTATCAAGGTTTAACAATTTTAAGAAAAGTAAATAATAAAAGATCAAAAATGCATTGGCTGAGTATGAGGTGGAAGGAATTATATTCAGTCTGAAAACTGTTCTGCTTTCATTTGTCATCTTCACATATGCACGTAGGTTTGCATGAAAATTTGTTACTGCTGGTAGAGCTGCCTGGCCAGTTAAGACAACCAGACAAGGCATTGGTGTGTCTCTGTCCTGTAGGTTCATAGTAACTCTGTTCACACGTCTTTCCATGACCGCAAGGTCAGATGCAGAGGCTCTAGCTGTTCACACTGATCTAAGTGTGTGCCTGGTGTTTGCCATGGAGAGCATCGAAGTTAAAATGTTTCCTTGACAATTAAAATAAGTTCTCAGTGCCTTGGAATCCAGGCCATGGTGACAGGCCAATGCACGTGACATTAGGCTTCAAAATAGTATTAAACATATGAGTCTGACCGGGGATTCTTATGGTTCATTTTCAGTTGAGTCTGATGCATGGACTCATTCCCCTCATTTTCCACTTAGGAAATATTTCTGACCTTGAAAGGGGCTCTGGAGAAGTACCACGAAGGCATTGGGAAGGCGGTGGAGGAGGGCTGTGCCAAGCTGGAGGGGAAGGCCGCGGAGCTGAGGAGGAGGATGGCCTCACTGCCCACTTGACCCGCACACACAGGGGCTTGTGAGTAGCTCGTGTGGTTTAATGGCCTTTGTAATTGGAAGCTGGAGTTAATGGAAGCATCAGAAGTACCAAATAATGTTGCTCAGTCACTTTTTGTATCCTCATAGGTTATTATTTGTAGGGTAATGCGTTTAATGTGGACTTTCCGTAACCCACTGACAATAAAGCTGTGTAGTTGTTCCTGACTCAGCCCTGCTCCTTCTGTCAGCAGTGCACAGAGGTCAGTTGCGTTTCTAGAAACCAAAAACAGACCATCGGGAGGAGACATTAAGAAACAACCCCATCCATAGTTGTGTCAAAAACCAAAAATATCCAGGAATAAACTGAGCCAAAGATGTGCAAGACTAAGACACTGAAGAAAAGTTGTGAACAAGATACAAATAAATGGAAGGATTAAGATTATTAAAATTTTCATACTACCCACAACAATGCCGGTAAATACCAGTGGCATTTTCAGAACAACTAATCCTAAAATTTATATGGAACCACAAAAGACCCCACATACCCAAAGAAATTTTAAGAACAAAGTGGGAGGTAGTGTGCTCCCTGATACCAAACTATATTATAAAGCTACAGTAATCAACGCAGTATGGCACATCAGTAGACTAGAGAGCCCAGAAATAAATCCTCATGCGGTCGGTCTACAGCAAAGGAGGCAAGAGCATACAACAGAACAGGGTCAAGACAGTCTCTTCAGTAAGTGGTGCCGGGAGAATGGGAGAGGCATATGCAAAACAGTAATCTTGGACCACTTTCTTATACCATACAGAAAAGTCATTTCAAAATGGATTCAAGACAAAGGCAAGACATGAAACCCTAAAACTAGAAGAAAACATAGGCAGTAAGCTCTTTGACATCACCCTTAGCAGTATCTTTTTAGATGTGTCTTCTCAAGCAAGGGAAGCAGAAAAAATAAATGCAGCTACATCAAACAAAAGGTGGTTGGTTGGTTTTTTATTGATGTTAAAGAGAAAGGAAGGGGAAGTAAGAAAGATGGATGTGAGAGAGAGACATGGATCAGTTGCCTCCAGTATGCTCCCTGACAGAAGATCAAGCCCTTGGGTGCAAGGGTTGACGCTCCAACCAGCTGAGCCACCCTGCAGGGCTGTGTTGTACTTTCTCACGTGTCTTCCACTCTGTGAGCCGCAGAGCCCCTCCCTCCTGGTGAAGCGCAGCCCCTGGCGCCTGGCCCGCACTGTGTTTACTTGGGGGACAGCCATTCTCTCCTGCGACATACAGCCACTGGGCCAGGTTCACGTTCATCCCATGGGAAATGCTCACCTTCTGTGCACTTTCACCCAAACATTGACACGTGTCCTGGCAGCTACCTATCTTCTCTTACCTTTTCCCCCAAACATGAGCCTTATTCAGAAGCTCAGCGCCACCCACAGTCAAACCTCTATTTGGCTGTTTTGACTGAAGAATAAATTATAAAATTTTGAGTCTTTCCCCAAAGCCTTCTTGAAAATGATTCTTGGGGCCATGTAAACACTAAAGCTTATCACCATAAATGGAAATGGGCACCAGCACAGTAGTCTGGCCACTGCGCCACGTATAGAGCCATTACATAACCAAGTTCAACGGACATTTCAAGGAGCTAATCCAGTTTGTGACAAGGCATGGGAAATTGAAATATGCACCTTGTAGGCCAAAGTTAATGCGCCAGACTTCGGTCTAATGGTGTTTTCTATTTATAGAAAGGCCAGAAAAATTTTATATGAAATTCCATTTCAAATTCAGGGCCTGCCACCCATTTCAGTTAACTCTGTGCTCACTGTTGGATGACAACCCTGCGTCTTCTGTCCACGCTGCCACCAGGGAGCGTAGGGCTTGAAACAGCAAAGCTAAAAATTGAAAGTTATCCGAGGAACTCAGAAAAAGCATGAGATAGAATTTAGAGACCGTCTGTTTAGAGTTGAAATAGGTTCTAAGTAGCATCTTAAAATTATTTTAAAAATTCATAAAAGGATGACTGTTCTGCCAAAGCTCCAAGTTGGACTCTATTTTATCTTTTTTGGGGTTATCCTATCTAAGCCCCAGAGCATTTGGTTCTGAATTTCTAGCTCAGATTCCATGCAAGCCTTAAAACTTAAGACAAGGTGACTTTTCCTGAGATGACAAGTTGAGACAGCGCCCAGTGGTGAGAAGCCCCATAGGAAATGGACCCAGACCAGTACCTGCTGTGTCAGGGTGACATCCTTCTCTTCTGATAAGGTGACAGTCACCCCCTTCTTTAATGCACTCACACAGCCCACACAGATCTTCCTAAAATACATGCCTGTCACCTCTCCCTGCTTTGAAAACTTTTGATGCTGACCCATTTCAGGGTAAAGCCCACAAGACTGAAGGACTCTGTTCTGAGGGAGGCCGCAGGGCAGGTCCTCGAACTAGTGGTTGTGACATTCAGTAATCAAAATCTTCACATAATGATTGATGTGAAGGCATCTGTTTTCCTGTAAGAAAGATATTCTGTTTCAGAACAGACAAGCCTACTACACAGCAAATAGTACTGAGTACCCACGTGACACCCTAATTTAACAGAAGACTTTCGCAACCCAATCTCAGCCCTCACTGTTATCACAAAAACCTGCGCCCTCTGCTCCCAGGGAACTCTTGCTCTGAAACTGAAGTTTTTGTTTTGTTGTTCCCATGGGTTTCTTTACACATTTACTGCCTATGTGAGGCTCCCCTAACAACATACAGGCGTGGCGTGGGACACACCCTCCTGCCACTTGTTTCATTTAATGGGAATAATGAGAGTGATGACCTTGTCAGCGCTCAGGACAGGGCCTGGCAAGGGCCCTCCAACACCCCCAGGTGAACAGACATCATTTCTGAGTGATGGCGAGGTTTGTATATGTAGCTTTGCATTCCTTTTTCACTGCTGTATAGTATTTCATGGCCTGGCTGCATCATCTACCCCTGTCTAGGATAGTTAGGCTGATCCCCATTTAATTTTTTGTTTTTGCAGTTGTCAGTGTGCTATGCCATGAAAATTCTGGGAGCTATACCAAAGAGGGGAACTGTGGGGTCTGCACTGTTGGGTTGTATCCCAGAGGCTTCCTGTCGTCATCAGCATCCAGACTGCCTGATGTGATGACTATGAGGTGATGTTTTACCATGGCCTCCATGTTCTCTTTTCCTGTGGGTAGTGAGGATGGCCATGTTTTCGTGCTTGTTCCTGTTCACTTTCCTCTCTGGCGAATTACCTGTCACATTTCTGAACATTCTGCTATTTGCCCACTTATTTTTCCCTGTTGCTTTCAAGGATATATACACTTAATTCTGGAAACTCCTTGTCAGTGGTCCGTCTGCAAATGTCCAGGTCCCCTGGTGTGTCTTCATGTCTTCTCCCCGTGGGACATTTGAAAAGCTTTCACTGAGGTACCTGTCCCACTGACCTGTAACTTTTTAATCCATGAAGTCCGTTAAATCCACTCAGATGTTCAGTGCACTAGGTTGTGAGCTCCCTGAAGGCAAAGTAGTCATCACTGTGACTGAACCTCGTATTCATGGGGCCCGATGGTGCTTTCTAAGTTTAGACAAGGTGGGGTGGCGGTGGGGAGCAGGGCAGGTGACCCAGAGGCCGGACCAGCCCCACCTGCTCTGTCAGTTCAGGCTCCTTGCTCCCATGTTGTCGCTGCGGCTGCCGCCCACTGCGACAGAGACCACAGGACCTACAGGTAAGGACTGTTTACTGTCTGGCTGCCTCAGAGGACATTGGCCACCTGGTCTGCAGATAAAGCAGAGCAAAGGGGAACCGGCTGCTGTCATGTGTTTATGGCTTTAAAAGAAAAAAGAGACCCTATCCTTTATGTTACTTTCTTAGCATCCCATCTGGTATTTCGCAACTCCTGACCTCATCCTATCTTAAAAGAATGAATCACAAAATATATCGGATGTTTTAAAATAATCTGAGTTAATGTAGGACCCACACAATGCCATCCTATCTTCTGTCCATCACTGCAGAAATGGTTCTTTCATAGGAATTTCCACCACTGCCCTCCTGGGCAGGACAGAGTGGATGGCTTTGAATTCCTCCATTGCCCCTCCCCGGGCTGTCCCCTCCCTGGAACCTCATCCAGTGTCCTCTCACGGAGGTCACAGAGGTGGACATGGCTGGTGGCATGACAGCACTGTCATTTACCTGGGGACAGAGATGAGCCTGGTGGGTGGGGGAGGTGAAGGTACAGAGAAGCGATGAGGAGGGATGGTCCCCAAGGCACTTGCCCATTACACATCCTGGGGCTGTAGAAACTGACTCTGGGTCGGGGCTCTGACACCTTTGCCAGTTCCTAAGATTTTGCTGCTTTTCCAAGACCAGAGATAAGAACCCTCCCACCTCGCTCTCCCCTGGGTTAATGAGACTGGAAAGAAGGGATCTTTTTCATCTTTTTAACATTAAATAAAATAGAAAAAAATAGAGCCAAGCAGTTCAACAAATATTATTCATGTCGTTGGCAAGCAGAAAAGGGGACTTCTGAATAAGAAAGTGGAAAAGGCGAACACGAAGCCTTGTTTGCGTATCAGAAAAATTAATCTACACCTGGAAGTGTAAGAGCCTGCAATTCAGAAAGCAAAGAATCGGGACAGCTCAGCAGAGAACAGTTTTCTAGCCAGTTAATTTAATTGCATAAATCATTCCTTTGTTAGCAATAAAGAGACATAATTAAAATGAGATTGCCTCTCCTTCTTGTTCTCTAGAAACTAAAGGAATTGGTTTTGGGCAAAGCGTTCTTCCAAATACCAGATTGGCAAATTACATTTACCTTTTTAGAAAAGCAAATTATTTTGCCGTAATATCGTGGTGGGTTTAATTAATTGTAGATCTGCCATATGATCTTAAGGAAATTATGCATTTAATGGCCTTAGCACAGAAGTTTGCAATCATGAGCCTGTCCCCTTGGTAGATGGTGTGCAGATTCTACAAACAGGTCAGAAGTGTAACAGGCAGCTGCCTGGGGATCTGACTACTCTTTGGGATTCAGGTTTGCTGTCCTTGTTGAAAATAATGCTACACTCAGTATGGCACAACTGAACTGGACTCCTTTCGGCTGGCTTTATCCTAAAATTACTATTGGCGATTATTTGCTGCCTCTGATGCTCTGGGGTTCAGAGAGCCCATAACTGTCTATGAAGCGGGGTCGGATGGAAGAGGGAAGCCGGAGCCCCTGCCAGGGGACCC